GCATACTTTTATAGTGTTTGGATAATTCAGTCATATTAGCTATGGTAATCACCTGATTCGTTAAAGTTGCAAGATCGGAGTGAATAAAAACAATAAAATAATTATTGTATGCATAGATGTCATGTAAATCGGTGAGTGATATTGTTATTGCCAATGTGTACACACCTAATACACAAGTGTTACGACACTACAGTCAAACATAGCCATTGCATTTGTATGCTTTATTTCTAATTTAAGATCTAAATTTATTCTTTACACAAGACAAATTGTAAATCTCGTTGGTTACTTAGTGCCGGACAGTGATATCTGTGAAGGAGATACAAAATATTCAGTTACATTTATGTTATGTTATTAGAAGATGAATACATATTTGATAGTTACTAAATTTTTAATTTGAAGTATGTGGAATTTAAATAGAAACACTACAGAAAATTAGTTTTCAAAAACAACTATTATGTGTTGTGGCTTATGAAAATACGTTCACGTTTCACGAACGGTAAAGAAAGTGGTGAATGATTGAAACGTACAAACACCTGGACATATATTTCGATGTGCAATGTATTTATATTTTGTCATGAGTTTTGACATAGCTAGTTACTTTTCAGTCTACATTATTGGCCAACGAACAAGGTTTGAGAATTTTGTTCACAATGTACTATGTTGAAATGCAACAAAGGAATCATAATATGATAAAAAAAAAATTACCTAAATAAAAGCAAAATACATCTGGTGTCGCTAGCGTGAAACTTTACCATGGAACACAGCAAATTCGTTCTTTTTTATCTTTACAATCTTTTTCACAACTTGGTTCATATGACTGGTATTCATTGTCATTGCAGTGTTTTTTTACGGCATTGGCATTACAATCATATTTACACGCTTCCTCATCTAAATTACACAAAAAAGTTAAACATGTTAAAATAAAGTTTGATTTCATGGGTTAAAGTGTGGGTGTACAGTACGAAATACAGCTTGTTCATGATATAAAGGAATTCTCAATATATATAAAAAACATGTTCTCAGATTTTTAAGTGTAAAATCTTACCTGGCACACAACACCTATAATCCGTT